CTCTCTTTAAATATGCAGGATTTTATCCAAGTTGTCAATGGCGGGGTACCAGTCACCACTGCCCTTCTGAAGGAGGAATTTGACCACATCCTGTATACGGGGAGTGGCAACGTTGCCCGTATCGTCATGGGGGCTGCGGCAAAGCACCTGACTCCGGTGACCCTTGAACTTGGCGGCAAGAGGTCAGTGGCACCTTGAGGTTCCATTGGAAATGAAGAAATTTTCAGCCATGACAGGTTAAAAGACTTGCCTGTCAATGAATCATGTGTTCGTGGCAATGCCATTACTAAATCATTCGCATTGGCCCCCGCCAATGGCAGTAAGCATTGTGATAATTGTTGTATGGTACCACTGTTGTGTTAGAGTCACTCCATGCAAAACCTACATGTACCATTACATTCTGCCATTCAAGGGGGCCATCCAAAATGGCCACTGCGATGTTGCTAGATCCATCTACTGTATGTTGATTTCGTTTCTTTTTCAACGGTCTTCCAGGTGTTGATTTGTTTTCAAACTTGCCTTGGTTTTTTTTTTCTTTCCCATTTTCAAATAGATCAAAGCATTTTGCAGTTATGGCCTGCAGTTTTTTACACTAAAGTTGGCAATTTTTCTGCAGATCAGAGGAAACAGCATTGTACTGTATGTGTGTGTTTCAGGGTTTTAGTCAAATCCGTCACAAATCCTTTGACATACATGTATGTAGTGGCAACTGGGAAGTCCTTGCATGAGGTTTTTGGGACTGCTGTTCGTAGTGGTCAGTCTGAGCATTCATGACTTTAGCCAAATGCTCTTCAAGTTTTCCTGTAAAACCTGTACTGTACTGCTCTGTTATCGGTGTGTTTGACAGAGGTGATGCCCAACAGAGAATTGCAATGTACATGTATGATGTTAACTCATGTACATGTTATGATGTTAAATCTTAAGGTCGCGCTGAAAAAGTAGGATTGGCAGGGAAACTGAAAGCAGAACTGTTTTTTTTTTAGCCTTATTTAAAAACAGCTCAATGGGTCAGAACAGTGAAAAATGACATTCGGAGAGACCTGCGCTTTGATAAGTTGGAATAAAATTGTTCTCAACTAATAAGGTACTGGTAGTTGGCTAAATTTTGTACAGTGCACCAGACATGCTGTTTGAAAACTGTGACTTTGGTTTCTTGAGATGGGCGGACTCTCATAAGAGTTGATTGACAGCCAACTCGTGAGAGATCAAGAAGCCGTGTCGCAAGTGTCTCATGATCATCGATGGATCGTTGAGTTGTCACATCCTTACCCGCAATGGCTCAACAGACAGTGATCGGTTTCATTCTCTTGAGCAGCCCTTGCTATGTGGACGAGAACACTGACATGGGCGTTACTGCCAATCGGCTTGTGTGGGGGAAGTTCCAGAACGCTGGACAGATTTGCATCGCGCCAGACTACGTCATCTGTAAGCCCTCTGTCAACGATAAGCTTGTTACCGCCGTGTCCAGGGTCATCAAAAATTTCTACGGCGAGGTAAATCCAAGAGTCAGGCATTATTCTGTCTACACGTACCTGAGATTTGGGTGGGTTTTGTTCTGCCCTGTGTCCTTCTCCTTGTGCCAGTGTCTTTCCAAGTCCTTGCCTTATGCGAGCGCACAAAGGAAGACAAAATAAGGTTTGAGAAAAAGTCTACCAAAGATCCTTAAAAAGGTTTGCAGTTAACTTAACGACTCGGGCCAGTATGCTTGCAACCACTTTTCCTGCAGGAATGCGTCGCGAGGCCTGAGCGGGCTTATTGACATGTTCCGTATGTCAGTGTTATGTCAGTGTTAGCCCCTTCGCGCCGGGATTTGTCTGACCGTGACTGCTGGGCTGTGATATGCCCTGAATGGAGGGCTTTGTCCATCAGCAGGCCCCATTGAACCAGCAGCTGCATGGTGAATAGACTGTGTTTATGGTATGCACTAATCCTCACTAAGCCGCAGCTCTTGCCGTCTCCCGGAGTGAAGGGGTTAAGCAGACTGTCTAAAATGTTGTGTGTCTTTTTACTTTGTCCTTCATGTGCAGAATCCCAAGAACTCTCCCGACTTCCCTCGCATTATCAACGAGAGGCATTTCCAGTAAGTACAGCCATTGCTTAGAGCCCGTGGGACATTCTATTTAAAATTGAGAATGGGTCAAAAAAAAGGACTTTGTGACCAATGTATTCACTGCTGTGTATTGTGTTGATTTAGCAGACAAATGGTGTTAATTTTTGTTCCTCAAATAAAGCACCCTTTGACATTGCACCATTCAAATATTTGAGGACTTTTTTTGTGTGCAAATTCTCCACAGCAGAGCCAAAACAACACCAGATCGTTTTGTCTGTAATTACTGTCTTTAATTACAAATGCAATACAGTCTTTCATGTCAATTGCTTGGGACAGTCCCTGTGCTCACAGTGTGAGGTCACGTCATGTAGAGAGGGATTTTTTTGTCAGCCAACAGCACCATTTAATGAGCTCTCTTTGTAACAGATTTTGCTTGGCTTGTTTTTTTTTTCCCAGGCGTTTGATGAACCTGACCAAAGCGGGCAAGGTAGCGGTTGGTGGCGACAACGATGTGTCTCAGCTCTACATCGCTCCCACTGTACTGACGGACATCAAGCCTGAAGACCCGGTCATGCAGGAGGAGGTCCGTGTCGCTACCATGACGACCCCCCCTATCCATTTTCCTTCTTATCACCATATTGGCGCAGATTGTTTTGTTTTACTAAGGGGAAGCTAGCTGCTACAGCCAAATTGCAATCAGATATGCATTGTTACTATACCTCATACATATGCATGATTGAGACTTCAACTCTCATTGGTCCACTACACGTGCACTTTCTGAAGCAATATGGAACTCTCATGTGGGCAAGATATTCACGCTCAGCTACATGTATATGTGAAAAGATGGCAGCATGCGTAAAATGCCTCTGACTATTTTTCTATGCTCAGTCAGTGATGAAAACCATATACGTATATGATGTATACCGATAGAAGAACAAATATGCCCCGGCTTGTCTTAGGTGGATAGTCAAAATTAGCCCCCATAGCGATTGGAAGTTGACAAATAAGTGCACAGCTGTGCCTGCAGAGCTAGTCAAGGTCCTAATATCAACTACCCAACCTCAACTCGTGATGTTTGTTTGCTGACCTTCAGCTGTTTGGCCTAGATTTCAGTTAAAATCAAAAGAAGGATAGTGCAACAGAACTGTATTTGGCTGCTTTTTAAGCCTTTGTGCATTGTCAAGACTTTGAAATGGCTCTACAATTCCACACTATTTGCGCCAGCCAGCACAGCTACAACTGTTTCACACCATAGCTACATGTATTAGCTTGCCATTCACACTGATGCTTGTTGGAGAAAGACACAGCATGTACATGCAACAGTGTCCATACTAGGCTCATGTAGACTTGAGGTGAAAAAGCAGAAATATTGAACAGTCCTTTTCAAGTGTGCAACTTTTCCTCAGATCAGCTGATTACCTGGTTTTTTCACTTCACACTCTTGCCATTGAAACTTACAAAACACTGTACAAAGACTTGTGAAGATTTGAATCTCCTCATTTTTTTGTCAAAGTCTTAGTTGCATGCCTGTCTTTTGCTTTTCTCTCTCGTCACAGATCTTTGGTCCCCTTTTGCCTATTTTGAACGTAAAGAGCGAGAATGAAGCTATTGACTTCATCAACAGCAGGTGAGATGCGCGTCCCTCCATGAAATATCAGAAGAACACGCCATGTGTTTTCTCGTACTTTAATTGTACCGTAATTTTCAGAATATATGGCCACGAAGAGTATAAGCTGCACCAAGCAAAAGTCTGCAAATTAAGATTTAAAGTCGGCGTATTAGCCGCGGGGTTCACCCGTGCTTTGCTGAATTTCTTCACTTTGACATTCAGAGCACTGAGCAGAAATCAACGTGTCATGTAAACTGTCTTGCCGTATAAGCTGCCCCGAGTACAAGCCGCAGGGACATTTTTCAGCGTGAGAATCGACGTACAATGTATGAGCCGAAGCTTATACCTCTTGCCTTTTATCTTGACAAAGGCAACACAGGACATGGGCGTTTAAGTCGTCCGCTGTCCGGCAAAGAGGGCATAATTAAACCAACTCTTTGCATGCTGAGTTGTGTGGGCAAAATGCCTGAAGGTCCCCTCTGCTGGGCACAGGACAAAATTTGATACACCGATACACTTCGATACCCTGGGCATCCGACAGCAGCAAAATGAACTGCTATTGAGTAGACTATGACAGCTAAGTATCATTGAGTATTAAATGTTACTCATTTACCTACTCACACTCACTCAACCATGTAGACTGCTGAGGTCGGTTTCACCAATCAGCTATGTATCAAACAGCTAGCCCACATTGTAAATGAATACACTCTATGTTGGTCTGATTTTATCCACTGCTGAGGGTCCACTCATTTCTCTGAGACTGAGCAAAAGCTTTCTCTAGGTATATGACAGAGCTATCTAGAGGGCTCAACATATACTCAACTTTGGTCATTATCGACCAAGTCCATCTGAAAGAGTTGCCAATGGATGATACTAAGCTAGCATGATACGTATGCTGAGCAAACAACTGTCACATCTCTTGTAATCATTCAGTGACCTGTAGTCAGGTCAAGAATAGATTTTTTAAGCAGGTGCTTGTATGCGATGATCGAGGAACTGGTTTAAGTCAAGATCTCTTACACAAGCTATTTTAGAAGGGCTTCATTTGAGTCCATATAGTTGTTGTAGTTAGTCAGTAGCCAAGTTCAAGCTGAGGTGAGTCCAGAAGGCCTTGAGTCTGAGTGGAGTCAAGAACCCAGGAAAATAGGTGGATTGGGTCTTGGTTGGAATTGAGTCCTCCACCACCGACACGTTCTCCAGTGAAGTTGTTGGAAGTTCTCTGCTAGAGGTCATTGACCCACAGTGAATGAGAATTAGGGCAAGCATGCACAGGGATACAGTACATAGGGTTAATTTTGCTTTCCTTAGACATTCATCTCTGATTTTTTTTTGTTCTTCAGCCATAGAGGGACATTGACACGTGTGTCATTTCAGACAGATTTCTCCGTCTTTACACCTGACAGTTTTTCTCCCATCCCCTTCTCCCTTGTTTGTAGGCCCAAGCCCCTAGCCTTGTATGTCATGTCCAAAAGCAAGACAACCATCAAGCGCTTCAATGAGGAGACTTCCAGTGGCAGTTTTGTGGCTAATGACTTCATGATGCAGGCAGCCTGTGAGTAAAGCAGCTTTGTCCAAATACCGGTACACCAGCTTCATGTACATGCATGGCTTGATATTTGGCATGTAACCAAATACATGTATCTTAGTAATTGAGCGAATTGGAGGTCAAATAACCATGTACTACATTATTAGAAACCACTCAGAGCTTTGCCCAAATAAACCGGCCGAGGACTGAGTATATTTTGGTGTGTAGCTGAATATTTTAATACTTGAACTGAATTTGAGGTCAAATAACCAAGTACTAAATTATTGGAGCCCATTTAGGGCAAGCATCAGTACTTGTGTTGACGTATCTGGTTGACAGGTTCACACCAGACCAAAAGAACAATTGTGGTGCGCTCGTTTTTCTGGTATGATTCTGCAGTAAAACCATATAGAGTCCCAAAGTCTGACGTCATTTTGAACCAGGAAATGCAGTGCAAACNNNNAAATGGAGTACGTGCACGGGTTGGTTCACGCGCTGGGCCTCGCAGTCATGTCTTTTAAACACACGTTTACTTCGGTACTCTATAGCATCCGGCAAAGTCCATGAAGATTACCGTTCGTCCATGTTTACCCGTCCAGGTGACACTCTGCCATTTGGCGGCGTCGGCCAGAGCGGCATGGGTAGCTACCACGGACACTTCTCCTTTGATTTGTTCTCCCACAAGCGAGCCTGCGTGGTGGCCAGCCAGGGCATGGACAAGCTGCTCAGGTCAGTGTGTGGAGGTACCTAGAGAGGGTGCAGATTAGGGAATCAGAGGGCCGCTGATCTCCACTCAAAGAGATTACTTCTTGCCCAGAGACATGGACAGAGAGAAAGATATTTATCTCATTGCCTGGCTGAAAGATATTTTTTTTACACAATTTTGCGCTGTGACATGCACTTCTGCCAGGCAGTAGACAGATTTCTGTAGTGCATGTCCAGAAAATGTAACAAAATAAAAGAAGATGCCAAGTTTGACACTTGCATCGGGAAAGTTTTATGGCAAAGAATGATTGTTTCTGTTGGTTCTGTTGACAGAAATTTGCTTGAATTTGTTTTGTGATCTTTCCCCCACCATTTGCCATTGATGTCACTGCACGGTTCACACGTGGAATAATGAAGGGATAACTTTATTCGATCTCAACCTCTGGCTCCGTGGGTTTTTTTTTTTTTTTTAGGTTTGATGTGGTTAGTATGCGGGCCCGTAAAAACAGAAAATTGATCCCTTTTGAATTTGGTTGGTAGTCACGTCGTTGGCTCAGTACAGATATAGAAGATGGAAATGACATAAGAAATATTTGATTCAAACAGACTGCTTTCATTTCAGTTGTAAAACTAGCTTTGAGGGCCAATTTTTGTCTAAATTTTCAACCAGTTTCTTGCCCAAAATAATGACCTTTTAGTGCAAATTTTAAATGAGGAGTTTTTAACTTGGACATGAAAACGTAATGAGTCCCAGCCATTTTTCTCCCTGTAACAGTCCAAGGTACCCTCCCTTCACCGAGCGCAACCTCAGCTTGCTGCGCTGGGCGACGCGCAAGAGCCCCAAGGGAGGATTTCTTCGTTCGCTGTTCTCCGTGGCTCTGCTGGGCATTGTGGCCGGCATTGTCTTCATGGTGAGTAGCACGGCTTCCGTTTGGCGCCACTCATCTGTCAGTCACATGGATGTCGGATCTAAGATCAAGTCGAAAGGTCATAAAAAAGACAAACTGGGTTGTCAGAGACCATCTTGTGTGGGCGAGGGGGTTGGATCCGCCCTCTTTCATGATCTCTGTCTTCTTTGTACCCATTCCATTTGGAAGTTGGCTGCATGTGAAGACATTCATTTTGAGTACTATTCAGGGGTGCCTTTGAATGGAAATTCATTTCATTTGACTGGTATCCGCCCTCACTTTCATATATCTACATGCAATTTCCATGAAGGAGAGAGAAAAATAATGCAGGGACGGGAACCAGTCCAACATTGCATGGTACTACCAATGGATGGCATTTCACACTGAATCTGTCTCGTAGAAATAGTTGATGTTTAAAATATGCAATGACTATTCGTGTAAAACAAATAATGGATGTTTCACACTTTCACAGTGGTAAGGAGGTAACACATGAAATGTCAAATGGGCTGCCAGGTCGGTTTTTTTCTTATAAATAAAAAAACAAACAGCATGTTCTAAAAACAGAGCACGATGTAATACCTAGGATGCCCCCTTTTACTTTAACCCTAACCTTCCCCAACCACACAGAATTAAACAGTAGTAAAGTGTTTAATTCTGTGGGGATAGGTCGGGTAGGCCCATAACAGCTGGCTTTTGCATTGGGTTTGGCATACCTCAGAAAAACAAAGTCCAACAGCCTCTGTGCACAAAGTCCCATATGGGTAGTAGTAGAGNGAATGGAGTACGTGCACGGGTTGGTTCACGCGCTGGGCCTCGCAGTCATGTCTTTTACACACACGTTCACTTCGGTACTCTATAGCATCCGGCAAAGTCCATGAAGATTACCGTTCGTCCATGTTTACGTCCAGGTGACACTCTGCCATTTGGCGGCGTCGGCCAGAGCGGCATGGGTAGCTACCACGGACACTTCTCCTTTGATTTGTTCTCCCACAAGCGAGCCTGCGTGGTGGCCAGCCAGGGCATGGACAAGCTGCTCAGGTCAGTGTGTGGAGGTACCTAGAGAGGGTGCAGATTAGGGAATCAGAGGGCCGCTGATCTCCACTCAAAGAGATTACTTCTTGCCCAGAGACATGGACAGAGAGGAAGATATTTATCTCATTGCCTGGCTGAAAGATATTTTTTTTACACAATTTTGCGCTGTGACATGCACTTCTGCCAGGCAGTAGACAGATTTCTGCAGTGCATGTCCAGAAAATGTAACAAAATAAAAGAAGATGTCAAGTTTGACACTTGCATCGGAAAAGTTTTATGGCAAAGAATGATTGTTTCTGTTGGTTCTGTTGACAGAAATTTGCTTGAATTTGTTTTGTGATCTTTCCCCCACCATTTGCCATTGATGTCACTGCACGGTTCACACGTGGAATAATGAAGGGATAACTTTATTCGATCTTAACCTCTGGCTCTGTGGGGTTTTTTTTTTTTTAGGTTTGATGTGGTTAGTATGCGGGCCCGTAAAAACAGAAAATTGATCCCTTTTGAATTTGGTTGGTAGTCACGTCGTTGACTCGGTACAGAAGGGTCATTACTGCTAACGTGCAATTTTGGACAAACTGTAGGGCGTTACTTTGAGCATGAGAAATATAGAATAAGAAAGAGATATAGAAGATGGAAATGATATAAGAAATATTTGATTCAAACAGACTACTTTCATTTCAGTTATAAAAACTAGCTTTGAGGGTCAATTTTTTCTAAATTTTCAACCAGTTTCTTGCCCAAAATAATGACCTTTTAGTGCAAATTTTAAATGAGGAGCTTTTAACTTGGACATGAAAACGTAATGAGTCCCAGCCATTTTTCTCCCTGTAACAGTCCAAGGTACCCTCCCTTCACCGAGCGCAACCTCAGCTTGCTGCGCTGGGCGACGCGCAAGAGCCCCAAGGGAGGATTTCTTCGTTCGCTGTTCTCCGTGGCTCTGCTGGGCATTGTGGCCGGCATTGTCTTCATGGTGAGTAGCACGGCTTCCGTTTGGCGCCACTCATCTGTCAGTCACATGGATGTCGGATCTAAGATCAAGTCGAAAGGTCATTAAAAATACAAGCTGGGTTGTCAGAGACCATCTTGTGTGGGCGAGGGGGTTGGATCCGCCCTCTTTCATGATCTCTGTCTTCTTTGTACCCATTCCTTTTGGAAGTTGGCTGCATGTGAAGACATTCATTTTGAGTACTATTCAGGGGTGCCTTTGAATAGAAATTCATTTCATTTGACTGGTACCCGCCCTCACTTTCATACATGTATATCTACACTGTACATGTAATTTCCATGAAGAAGAGAGAAAAATAATGCAGGGACGGGAACCAGTCCAACATTGCACGGTACTACCAATGGATGGCATTTCACACTGAATCTGTCTCGTAGAAATAGTTGATGTTTAAAATATGCAATGACTCTTCGTTCTAACAAAAGAGAATTGATGCAGGTATTGTGTAAAACAAATAATGGATGTTTCACACTTTCACAGTGGTAAGAGTGATAAGGAGGTAACACATGAAATGTCAAATGGGCTGCCGGGTCGGTTTTTTTCTTATAAATAAAAAAACAAACAGCATGTTCTAAAAACAGAGCACGATGTAATACCTAGGATGCCCCCTTTTACTTTAACCCTAACCTTCCCCAACCACACAGAATTAAACAG